GCTTTGTGAACAGAATCCAGAAATAAGAAGAGGAGAGACAATGCAGATGCAGCATTAGCATTACCAATTACTTACCACTGCTGAGAAAATGGTAAAGATATGTTATATTATTATACCTCTAGTCCTCTACTGTAATTACTCTGTATAAATTAATACCATAAAAAAAAATCTCTATTTCCCGGAGAAGTGACTATTGCCCTCAGCTGAAGACTACTCCCTGGAAAATCAGAGCTACTCCCTGGGACTACTCCCTCATGAATATTTATTAGTAATTTTAACCAATCAAAGTGTTCAGCTGCAGTGGGTGGAGCGTTAAGGAATCTCGAGTCTGTGACGTCATGTTATTATCAATGTAGCTATGACATCAAAACGTTTTGACGTGCAATGTCAAAATCAAACTTGAATTCTACCAAAATGAAGACAACGATGATTTTTCAAAATGTCAGTGAAAATACTTTTTAAAAAATAATTTAATTGTTTAAGAACATGATGCTTGACTTATCATGCAATGTGTTAAACCGCATGCATTTGTAATTATGCCTCTACATTTTTTTTTAAAATGTCTGAATATCTGGTTAAAAAAAATTTAAATCGCCTGTCATTGTTTCGGTATAATAAAAAAGTTATCTAATAGGAACTCGGGAAATAGCAAATTTATAGTTCCCCTCGGCAGAAAACTATTTCCTCTGGGTAATAGTTTCCTCCCTCGGGGAATCATAAATTTGCTATTTCCCTCATACCCATTTCATAACTGTATACTATAGTAGATGGATAGGAATTGCCTTGTCTGTCTGTCGATTTGCCACATGCATTTTTCCCTACTCTATTACTTTACTTCAGGGATATATGAAGCTCTTGTTTTCTTCAAAGATAGCCAGAAGAATTTATGAAGAATCTTACCCAAGTCATTTGATTGATAAATATAAATGTAGCATTATCATAAACATGACATTTATTTCACAAATCTTAGAATATTTCTAGTATGGTTTATTTCAATTTAATTAGAAAACTGTCCTTTTTCACAGGTACATGCTTTGAGTACTACTTTTGTGTATTTGGAGACACTCCAGTTGTTCTTTAAACCAGAAGTGGAAATTTCAGTGCTTGTTAAATTTTCTCCAGAAGTTATTGGATGCTACATTGGAAGAAAATGAGGTCATACTGAACAGAATAGTTTGGATACACCTTATAGATTTTGAAAGCTTGAGACCTCAAGATCAACCCAAATGGTGTACAAAACATGAAGAAAAAAAGACAGCTTATGTTTGATTGATTGATTGATTGTATATTGTTTAACGTCCCTCTTGAGAATTTTTCACTCATATGGAGACGTCACTGATGCCGGTGAAGGGCTTCAAATTTAGACCTATACTCGGCACTCAGGGCCATTGAGCAGTGAGGGTTCTTTATCGTGCCAATGCCTACCGTGACACGGGACCTACGTTTTTAAGGTCATATCCGAAAGACCCGTGACTTTCACTTCTAGTGCCGAGCGCTTGGCGAAGGAACAGTCACTACCTTTGTTTACGTCTTAGGTATGACGCGGCGCCGCGATCGAGAATCGAACCCGGGCCTCCCGATCACGAAGCGAACGCTCTACCACTAGGCTACCGTGACCGGTCAGCTTATGATTGAAGAAGCTTGTGTAGTAGCCAAAATTTCAGGGTATTTCATATATGTTAACTTATACAATTTTATTGGTACATGTACTTAAACATTGTTAATATCTTGATATTTAATAAGTATCAGGTTTCACTTGCAGGAATGCACAAAAATTCAGAGTAAATTTTAATTGTTTGTAATGTTAGAAAAGATAAAAGTTCAAGGTCAACAGTTCTTTAGTTTTACCAAATATATAAACACTATTATAAAGACTAATTTCCTGTATACAGGTATAGCAAATAATTCAGAATATGATTTGGGGAAACTGTGATTTTTTCTTTTAAATCTTACCTTAATTTAGAACCATGATGTATACTTAAGCAAGTAGATTTTTTTCAAGCATACAAAATTTCAAGGTCATTTTAATTTTGGAAGTGAACATAAAATATCAGGAAGCAGTCAAGCATTGTAATTTTTTTGTTGTTGGGTGTACTTAGTTATTGAGTAATATTCAAATTTTAATCTGCAATGAAATTAGAAATTATAAATGTTTTAATTTGTTGATTTTTAAAACTTCGTGTTCATTCATTTTGAGTTTGTTGCCATGACAATATGTCTGTCAAGAAAATGGCTCTGATATTCCTTTTTGTTCAGTTTGACCCTTGACCTTTGACATTGTGACCTGAAAATCTAAAGGGGTCCTCTACTTTTCAAGAAACCAGTGTACTGAATTTGATGTCTGTCAAGCAATGGGACTCAAGATTTTGAATGATTAAAATCTACATACTGGTACATACAACCCTTGACCTTTGACCTTGTGAACTCCAAATCAAAAGGGGCAATCTACTTATTAGTAGGTACCAGTGTACTATGTTTATTATCTATCAAGCAAATGTTTTTTTAAGATAAAAGAGAACACAATTGGTCTACTGATTGACAAACAGGTACTAAGCAGTATGTGAATATCACCCTGCTCAAAGAAAATGTAAAATAATACAATTCTGGTACCCTCCCCCCCATATTTACCCCATTTAACCCCCTAGGAAATAATTATTGAATGAAAACAAAAATATACAATATACTGGTATTTTTCAACAGCAAAATTTAAATTTTTGAAAATATCTAAATCAGCAAAATAACTCCTTGCTGAAGTTCAGGGATGAGAAAATTTGAAAATTCTCCCCCAAAAATGTCCAACTTTAAGTAAAAAATACAGCAAAATATTTGAGAGTCCAAAGACAGATTTTTTATATAATGTAGACAGACATGTTGACTAATAATTGGTATGAGATTGAGTTGATTCTAAGCGTCACTTTCTGAGTGATCGGTTTTTGAAAAGTGAATATTTTCACCAGTTTTCAAAAATCTGGAAATATGCCAGATTTGTGACCTTTTTGCACTTAAACGAGGGCACAGCTTGTGATTATGAAAAAATTTCCGAAACATGTGTATCTTGTTACTTTCAACCATATATGGATATTTTATATCACTATCAAGTAAAATGCTGAATTTTTAAATATAAAATCTTATAAAATTCCTGTTTTCACCCTGCGTAAGAACCAAGAATTCTATTTTTGTAACAGTGTCGATTTAACCCCTTAAGTGAGACCACATTGAAAAAAATTTTGTGGCAAAATATTTCATATTATGGAAGAAATTTACACACAAAACATGAAGTTGATCTGAGAACCTTGCTCCCATGACCTCTTGCATGGTTTTCTCGTAGACATGCTCTTAATGTTTATTGATTTTTTGTACAAAGTAATGTCAAAGAACAACATTCATATAAGTATTTTTGTCCAAGAATATTGAAGTGAGCATGTAGGCTCATGGGTCACTTTTAGGGAATAGTTTCCTAAAAAAATCAAAATTATCAAAGAATGGTAGTGTTCCTTTTTCTTTAAGGGAACATTAAGAGCAGTAACTGTCGTTACAAAAATTATATACACCAAAAGGCTTAGAAGACGTTTACTTAGAAGTTATAATCTGTTTATTATTTTGATCAGGGAATTTTATGTTACATAAGAGTATATTTTATTTCAATTTCAACAGACAAAAAAAAATTAAGAAAACCATGAATCTTGCTTGAGAAATCAATCAGGGATAATTTACTTACGCAATGTCAAAGAAGTTAATTCTTTATATCAATACATATTTAATAGATAACGGCAAGATATACACATACTATAATTCAAAGTGCTTAACGGTGATGTTCTTAATATCAATTATAAACAAAACACATGACTATCTGGGTAACGGTATGATGTTATAAAAACAGTAATTAATACTTTACGAATTGATCAATTACCCTGCAATCTCAATCTGGAGAGCTAAAATTATCTCCAAATTTTCTTATAAGATGTGTAAAAACACTAAATAAAAAAACTATGCAGCACTTTCCTTTCTAAAAGAAAAACAGAAAGGATTTTAAAGTAATTGCGCTCAAATTAACATGTATTTTATTTTTTCCAACTAACCCATAACGGATTTTCTAACCGATTAGCATCGTTTCAATCAATTAACCGATTAACAAGTTACAATTTGTCATCCCTAATTTCTAATATAATTTTCGTGTATCTTAATGAAAAACCCTTTCTGTTACCATGATTGTTTTTTTTTTTTTGAAAGTTGTATCATTATAATAGAAAAGGTAATAAATGCGAGACGTGATATTTTGGTTAAATCTACTCTTTTAGACAGGCAGTTGGCATACAGACACGCATTAAATTAGCTTTAAGAATTTCAAGGAGAGCTGGTAGTGGTAGTTAAAAGAAGAATATCATTACCTGAATTTCTTTATTATTTAAATTGTAAATATTGAAATAGAACATGCACAGTGTCAAAAAAAATTTCAGTTTTTAAAGTCAATGAGATCCGGCGTCCTCTGATACGACCCGAACTTTCTGACAGATGATTTACTAAGAACTCATCTCCTTATCTAATTAGTTGATATGGAACAAAAAACCTTACTCTGCATACTTTTTACACTTTTTCTCCTTCCTGTAGGTAAGTACTTTGCATATCTATAGTTTACATTATATTATTTTCTAGAAATATATTAAAGTTTCCTACAATTATGTTATACAATTCGAGGCACTTGTTTCCCTTCTGTAGTTTTAGGGGGTCTGTATTTACGAATGTTCGCAAACATTACTTCAATTTGTTTAATTCACTTTGATTCTACGCGCACAGGCACTCAGCTATTTATATTAAAGAATGGATTTTCTGATTGGAAGTATTCAAATATTTTTGAAGACAAGGTATTCAAATAAACTTTTAGAATTTCAATAGACATTTTCATGCAATTGATAGTTTCTATGGTACATTGCAATTGCTTTGTCAGCATTTAAAAAAAGCTTCCAAAGATGAAAAAAAAATAATTTTGATTCTAGGTCAAATGGTATTTATCGTCCATTTACAACTGTGGATACGTATATCTATACCTGCATGAGCTTCACGCTACAGAACAATTACAAATATCTCTTCAAAATGCACACAGGTACGTATTACGCATATTATATGAAATTATTAACTTTATTAAACGATTCTACACATTTGGTAATATTCTGTCAATAAAAGCCATGATATGTTCCATGATATTATTATCTATGATTTTTAAATGATAAATATGTAAAGTAATCAGTGAGTCAATCAGCACTTGTTAGGCGTTCTTATATTTGTTTTTAAAGCTGGAAGTGAAATACAGCCATCGGTGTACGAGCGTGTTCTCCTAAAGCATATCTCAGTCACCAGTGTTAGTCTAAGTGAAGTATGCAGTGACACATCCAATCTAGGAATGGAGAGATATCATGTAGCGCTTAAATCCGGTACTTATTTCAAATCCTTATAATGTAGTTTTAAATCTTCGAGTCTATATCATAACGATACTTATTCAGAAAAAGGATAAAGTTTTTAATTTTACACCCTTTTAATGGTTGACTTGGAAATAAATTTTGAATAAATGTAACTTTTGTCTCTGATGTTGAAAGAAGGAGAGATACAGTATGAAGAAAGAAAGAGTTCGTTTGTTGTATTTCCAGATTTATGTATGTTTCTTTAGCTCCCTCTACACATTCAAGGAGATTGGGCTCATTCCTCATTTGAGAATGACAAGAAAAATTAAGGAATAGAACAAATGTTTTAGATAACACAACCTACATATATGTACCAGAGGCGACATTCATAAATAAAGAGAAAATGTAATGTTGACATGTTTGAAAGAATCGTACCCCTAACTTATACAGAAAAATTCTGTATATATCAAGATATTTGCATCATTTTTTGAAAAAAAAATCTTTACATATACTCTACTTGTATCTTATAGGACACGAAGTCTCGGGTACGATCACATGTCCAACAAGTATTCAAGGAACGTTTTCATACACATACACGGGACTAGCGTGTTCGGATACCTCTCTGGAAACATGTACAGACAAAACACTTTTTAAATACAATGACACCCTGTGCACAGATAACCCAATGTTCTCCGGTACGTATTACTATATTTTGTTTATGCTTAGTGATATAAACAGGCTACATGTATCTGCAGATTCTATGCAAGTTTTGTAAAAATAATCTTACACGTACAATTTTTTCGGGTCTGATATGAATTCCAAAGTGTTTAAATGAATCTTTATGGCTGACCGTGTCAATGTTTACACATTAGACTGATATTAGAAAATGTCCTCTGAAAGAAACCTACATTTTTTTCTATTTCCATTCTTACTAAAGTGTGTTCCAATTAACTTGATTTGTGGTTATTTGATATAATAAACTTGTCGGTGGTTACTAAATTGTACATGTAATTTGTTTTAAATATATTGTCTGACTATAATTTAAAACGCATCGCAAAGCATTACATACAAGTAACAATTCTTTTTTCTTTATTTTCAATAAATATATGATGATAATTGTGGTTCTTAATTTGTAAATAATCTTAAATCTGCTTTAGGTGATGGCACGTTGCATTGTGTATTCACAGGGACAAAAGGAAGCTACACTTACGTCACCTTATATGATGCTGAAGCTTCCATGATAAATCTTACAAACTTCCAATTTTCTTGTATGGTAAACATCTTTTATTTAAGTTTAATAGAGAATTGAGAATTATAATTATTATATGTAATACTCATAATAAAAACTTTCCATCATGAAAGCTGCAAGATTGATTGAAAGTTTACCGTTTAATTCCCTCTCCAGAATATTTCACTGATATGGAGACTTCACCATTGCCGGTGTAAAGACGAATAATGACCCCCATCGAATAATGACCGGGGGTCATTTTTCGCTGTCGAAAAATGACCCCCGGTCATTATTCGATGGGGGTCATTATTCGTCTCTACACCGGTGAAGGGCTGCAAATTTAGGCCTATGCTCGGCACTTACGGCCTTTAAACAGGGAGGGATTTTTATCGTGCCTGCTATGACACGGGGCCTCGGTTTATACGGTCTCATTCGAAGGACCACCCCATGTAGTCGCCCTTTACGACAAGCAAGGGGGTACTGAGGACTTATTCTAACCCGGATCCCCACGGGACGAAAGCTGCGAGAGGAGTAATCCTGACAAATGATACAGTTCTTTACGTGGGTTCAGTATGTAATATTTGGCATAACAATGACTTAGTTTAACAACCGACATTTTTCTCAAATATGTTCAAAATAAAAAAAAAAGAACTGTAAGAATTAGCTATACCTTGCATCAATATTGATAGTGTAGATATATGAATTAATATTTTATGATGAATCTCAACCAAATAAGAAAAGGGAAGTACTGTAAAAATAGATTTGAAAAATTCAATATAGTTCCATTAAATTTATGACAATTTTAGAAAGACACAAAGTTAAAAATAATTGAAATTAAGATCATTTTGCTGGCCCTGCACAATTTGAGTTGTTCAATTTAAATTTTAAGAAGAATCAATGTTTTTTCTACAAAGTTTATTTACATCCTCTGACAAAGCATCAAATGAAAAAATATTATTTTTTAAACAAAGTTCACAAAGTCTTAATTTAAAGGGAATTTTGTTTAAATTTATTTCTTTTTGAATTGGACACAATTAAGACCTTCATCAAAATAAGGAAGATTAAAAGCAAAATATATAATAATATTTAAGCAATGTCAGCTGCAAGCACCAATGCCAAAGTGTAATGCAATATCAAGAATTCAATTGTCTAAAATAAAAAAAAAGCACCGATCAAGATAACTAAACGGAAGGGAAGTAGCTTCTTCCTTGGAAGAGCCGGGGTTTGATTTTACTTCAAAGAACCAAGTCAAAGCCTTTTAAATAAAAAGTAGTAGTGACTGTTCTTTTCTCGAAGGTTTGGCATCAGAAGTGAAATTTATTAATATTTTTGTTGAGAATTTAAAGCAGAGGTTCCATATCACTATAAGCGCTTGGTTCAAAAAGAACATTCTCTGCTCAATGGTCCTAAGTGTCGAGTATAAGTCTAAATTTGAAACTTTATCCTGGTATATGAAGAAGTGTCCTGTAAGCGAAAAAATAATTCAAAAGAAACATTTGTTTGTTTGTATTTTGTTTGTTTGTTTGCTGTCCGCCCTTTTGAGAATTTTTAACTATTGAGACGTGATAAATATACTCGTGGAGGATTCTTAATTAACATACGTACTAAGTCAAGCTTACATGCTCTCAACATTTGAAATACTTGAGTACAGGATAGAGCAGCTCACAAAAGCATTAGGCACAAAAAGCTCTTTTGTTTTTTAAGTATAAATAGAATAGTTTAAATATTTGTCAAAGACTGAAAAATTGTTGTAATTTTGCTAAAATCTGTTTAAATAGGTGTACACAGGAAGTACAAGCATCATTGTCGGATCAGTCAATCCTGAGGAATGTTTAACTAGTCAAATGCCTGCATCCTTAACGTCAACATATGGAAAAGTCGTCACATTTACAGCTTTATCAACATGTATGTTGAAAAATATAAAAAAAAATGTAGCAGCAGTATCGATGCATATATATTTATACTTACATGTACTACTTTCAAAGATTCAGAAAATGGTTTTAAATAGTACATAAATCATTTTTAAATAAATGTTTTGTTCTATTTCACACCGCTGCCATCTATTGATACATTCAGGAAATACGTTTAAGGAAAACTTTGTCACATAGAATTGAAAAATGACTTTCATGTATAATTAGCATTCTTCCTTCTTTTTCCTTCAATGATTTTACTGTTTTAAAATATTCTAATATAAGAGTACGGTAGCTCAGTCGGTAGGGCGCTCGCTTCGTGATCGGGAGGTCGTGAGTTCGTATTTCGGCCGTGACTGACCTAGTCGATAAAATGGGTAGCAACTGTTCCTTCGCCATGCGCTCAGCACTTTAAAGTGAAAGTTGCGGGTCCTTCGGATGAGACCTTAAAAACCGAGGCCCCGCGTCAGCGGCAGACGTTGGCACGATAAAAATCCCTCACTGCTCAACGGCCCTGAGTGCTGAGCAAAGGTCAAAATTTGAAGCCCTTCACCGGCATACGGTGACGTCTCCATATGAGTGAAAAATTCTCGAGAGGGACGTTAAACAATATACAATCATCCAATCAATATAAGAATAATTTTAGTGTTAAAAATATTAAAAGACTCATATAATTTTTTATAAACATATCAAGATATATAAAATGCACTGAACGTACAATGAAAGGAATTATAATTGCATAGTAAAATTTTAAATTAAATTAAAATTATTATTTCAAAAGTGTTTTCCAGTATTGTTATCAAACATTCTACTTCATGTTTAATCAACAAGTTACGAAAGCCTTGTGTGACTTTGACTGATAATTGCTGAGTTATTGAGTTATGTCGATACCCCCAAATATTAACATACAAATTTTCATCATCTCCCTTGCGCATCAGTAACAGCCTTGTCTCGACAAACACTGGCTACATTTTCAAAAAAATTGCGCATAAGATAATGTGTCAGAGAAAAATCGACGCAAAGTGGTCAAGCTCGCGGTCCAAATTAGAGAACAGAGTATCTTTCAATTTTAGGGTGGAAAATATGGGTATGATAGTCTGCTGTATAAATATCGGTGTCATTGATAATAATAATAATATTATTAATATATGAAATTTGTATTGAATTTGTAATGAATTTGTAAAGCGCTAAATATTAATAATTTAACTCTAAAGCGCTGTACAATAAACCGCAAGTAAACATAATTTAAAAGCTATGAAAACTTATATAAAATATTAACCCCTACTCATATATGTGTTCGGAAATTATAACATTAAAATACTACAAATTACAAAATACAATTACACCATCAATAAAACTCAATAAAAGAACATCATTTGTGATTTATGATTTGCTGCTAAAAATTAAGCACCTAAAACTTAAAAAGCTATCCTATGAAAATGCGTCTTTAATTGTCTTTTGAAAATATCCAGGGACTGGGCCTGCTTTATATCATTAGGAGGGTCGTTCCACAAAAATGCTGCTGCCCAACCAAGTCGACGTTCACCATATGTCTTCGTCCTGATCATAGGAACAACTAACCGTGATGTTGACTCAGATCGCAGTGATCTGGTAGGCTTGTATTCCATTATAAGATCTTTATATACGATGGAGCCAACCCGTGTAAGGATTGGTAGACATATGTCAAGATTTTATATTGTGGACGAAAAGAAACAGGTAGCCAATGAAGATCAGCTAGGATAGGTGTAATATGCTCCCGTTTTGATGATCTTGTAACTAAACGAGCTGCCGTGTTCTGGACTTTTTGAATCCGGTCTAGTAAGGCCTTTAACACTCCATATAGAGGGCAGTTCCCATAGTCCAGCCTGGCAGTGATAACGGCATTCACCATGGTCTTGCAGGCTTCTTTTGTAAGAAAGCGCCGTATTCGTCCAATATTGCTTATTTGAAAATAGCATGACTTGACGACCGAGGATACCTGTTTTTCCATAGTAAGGTGTTGATCGAAAAATGCACCTAGATTTTTTACACATGGCACGCTTTCAATGATATTATCACCATCTTTTAGTTGTAATGTTGGCAGATACTTCTGGTGTTGCTTTGTGGAGAAGATTATTAGCTCGGTCTTTTCTTGGTTTAGTTTGAGTAGGTTTGATGTCATCCATAAACCAATTTCACTAATACACGCTTCAAGTCGAGAGAAAGAATTGTTCCAATTTTCCAGTGGTCTTATGATCATGTAGATTTGTGTATCATCTGCATAGCATTGATATATCATTCCATGGCGGTGGCATATGATTCCAATGGGTTTGGAGAAGAGGCAATACAATTTCGGTCCGAGTACAGATCCTTGGGGGACACCAAAAGGCAGCTGTCTAGACTCTGATCGGACGGATCCAATTGTGACACATTGTTTTCTGTTCTTGAGGTAAGACTTGATCCACTCAAGAGCTCCATCACGGAAACCATAAGACACAGTTAGGCGTTGGAACAATATATTATGGTCAATAACATCAAAAGCAGCGGATAAATCCAGAAGTACAAGGACTACTGAAGATTGTTGGTCTAGGGCTGTCACAATATCGTTGTGGACCTTGATGAGGACCGTTTCCGTGGAGTGCCTGGGACGATATGCCGACTGAAGTGGATCGTGAAGAGAATTCGCATCCAAATGGGCATCAATCCTACGAGCCACAACTTTCTCCAATATTTTTGAGATAAAACTCAAGTTGGATACGGGCCGATAGTTTTTCAACACTTCCTTATCTAGTCCAGGTTTCTTAAGAAGTGGAAGAACTATGCAGGCACTTTTTCAGTAGCTTTGTAGGAATTGGATCCAGTTCGCATGATTTACTGGGTGCCTTCATTATTAGTGATCGTACGTCATCTTCAGTGGTACGTTCAAAAGCAGCTAATAGAGGCCCATGATAGTATACGTCTGTGCCTAATTAGCTGTCTTTTTCTGTTTTTTGTTTAAGTGTCTCTCTGATGGATGTTACTTTGTCTATGAAAAACGTTGAAAATTTATTTGCAAGATCTTCATCTGATGGCGATGTTGGTAGGAGATTCTTACCCATCAATAAATTCGTCACCCTAAAGAAGTTTTTCAGATCATATCTAAATTCCTGAATTTTAGTAGAATAGAATTCTTCTTTTGCCTTGTGTAGTAAT